AATTTGGAAGGAATTGGTTTTAAATTTTGTTCACTCTACAAAGACTCAAAATTGTTCACTCTATAGAGTACTCAATGGAAAAATTTTCATGTTCACTCTTTCAAGGTGTTCGTAGCATCGGGTGTTCACTCCAGCCAGATACCACTGTACTAGTTGACCATCGATAGTTTAAAACCTCTAGCACACCCGATTTTATTTATAATGTCTCCATTTAGCTGCGCGTCAGTATTTTAAGTTTGTCAATATTTTATTGTAAGTGATACTTTCATTGTGATTCCTCCTTTAATGGCCGTTTTCTCAAGCTACCTTTAATTGAAAAGCTCCCTTATATATAAACGTTGCTTCAAACCATAAGGCTATGCCTGAAGTAAAGCATTTCTCTTATCGGTGTTTGACGTTTGTATGTTTCTTGGCTGTNAGTATTTTTAGTGTGCTTGCCACATAGAAGCAAAACGTTGAAAATTATTGAAATCGGACTAAAATTGAGGCCGCTTTTCATATAACGGTAAATTTCAGAAATGTTTGAAACTTCCATATTTCGAAATTTAAGGACGCTAATTTACTCAAAACTGATACACCCCGGCTTACCATGTAGCGGTAGCTTTCGGAAAGGTGAAAGTCATGTATTAAATACTTGCGCCGGGTATTTAATGTTCGGCTCCGCCCGAACTTAGACTTTCTTACTTGTTGTTATTAAGTTTTTCGTTACAGTTTTGAATTTGGAAGGAATTGGTTTTAAATTTTGTTCACTCTACAAAGACTCAAAATTGTTCACTCTATAGAGTACTCAATGGAAAAATTTTCATGTTCACTCTTTCGAGGTGTTCGTAGCATCGGGTGTTCACTCCAGCCAGATACCACTGTACTAGTTGACCATCGATAGTTTAAAACCTCTAGCACACCCGATTTTATTTATAATGTCTCCATTTAGCTGCGCGTCAGTATTTTAAGTTTGTCAATATTTTATTGTAAGTGATACTTTCATTGTGATTCCTCCTTTAATGGCCGTTTTCTCAAGCTACCTTTAATTGAAAAGCTCCCTTATATATAAACGTTGCTTCAAACCATAAGGCTATGCCTGAAGTAAAGCATTTCTCTTATCGGTGTTTGACGTTTGTATGTTTCTTGGCTGTAAACAAATCAAAAAATTATATTACGAAATTCAAACAAAATATATCCTATTTGAAAATTTATAATAAGCAACAATTAAACAAGACAACAGCGATTTTGTTGCGGCAAATGATAAAGATGTTTTTGATAGACTTTTTTATACCATGTTCTGACCGACAACGAAAACACTTTGAAAACGTGTTTTGGGATTGTGGGCTGAAGGCTATTCACACCGGCTGTTAGTGTTTTCGTTGACATTTCTTACATCCTCTGGTTACAGTTTTGCCACACAAAAACCAAAACCAAAATGCTTTTCCCTCATTTTCTTTTCATTAGCAACCTCTTACTTTCATTCTTATTTTACTTTTGCCAGCCAATTAACAATAAATCCGAAATGGCGTATTAAAGATGATAAAATATGACTTCCACTTCGATACATAATCGAAAAAAACTAGTGAAGACACCGATTGGAATGAGTGGAACGTGAGTTTTCAAGTAGTTTTCAGCGAAAACTGGTTTTCGTTTGACAGATTTTACATGGACGAAAACACAAGTTTTAAGTCGAAAACCAGTTTTAGCAACGAAAACATGTTTTCGATGTCGGTCAGAACATGGTATTATGGTGATTACGAGTCCGTAAGCATAAAGTTTCCATCAGCTCCAGATTTTGAGAAAAACGAGGCCAAATTGTCGAAAAATCGCGCTTTTTGCAATATTTTAGAAGGTCTAGCACAAAAAACAAAAGGTGATAGAACCTTTAACTGGGGCTTAAATTAAGGCTGTAACTCTCGGCTACTATCCCTGCACCTTGACCTGATGGTCACTAAAAGTCATTTGTTGAACAATATAAAAATACTGGAATAAATACTGTGCTATTGAAAACAAGTAAGAAAGCCTAAGTTCGGGCGGAGCCGAACATTAAATACCCGGCGCAAGTATTAAATATATGAGTTCCACCTTTCCGAAAGCTACCGCTACATGATAAGCCGAGGTGTATAAATTTTAAGTAAATTAGCGTCCTTAAATTTCGAAATATTGAGATTTCAAGCATTTCTGAAATTTACCGTTATATGAAAAGCGTCCGTAATTTTGGTCCGATTTCAACAATTTTCAACGCTTTGCTTCTATGTGGCAAGCACAATAACCGTACCGAGNACCTTAGGATTAAGGTTCAGGGATGGTATTTTAAGCGATTGTAGTCGAAAGTTCAAGCCTTAATTTCAGCCCAAGTGGAAGGCTCGATCCCCTTTTGTTTAATTGCGGTGGATACTCAAACTTCGCACAAAATCAGGTTATGCTGTTCAATAAATGACTATAAGTGACCATCAGCTCAAGGAGTAGGGATAGTATTTTCAGGGATAGTAGTCGAGACTTCTAGCTTTGATTTAAGCCTAATACCGCCTTTTGTTTCTTTGCTAGAGCTTCTAAAATATTGCCAAAAAAACGATTTTTTCCCCATTTTTGTTGTCATGTGTTATAGATCATAAGAAGAAGCCTTCTTTACTAGGCTAATAATTTTATTTTAATTGTACGCTTCAGTAATAGATATGTAAATAAATAAATAAAATTCGCTAATAAAATGCTTTACTTAGACAGAACTATACATGTTAAAGCAATCTTTTAACAAAAAATGAATTTTAAAGTTAAAAGTTACTTAAGAAAACAGCCCTACGTGTCTTTGTATTTTCAATATTTTGTTTTTGGAACAGTTTTTAACAATACATTGACTACCGATGGTAGCGTTCGACACTATCGATAGTATTGCTGGAAACTATCAACGAGTATCTGAAACATTGAAACTATCCATGGTGGCACTATCGATAGTTTTACAACTCTACCACCTCTGTATGCCGAAAGCCATACAGAGCCCCGTGAGACAACTCCGGAAGAGTTGTGATGCACCAAGCGGGAGTGTTGAGCATCGGTTATGTATTCAAGTTAGAAAATTGGGTAGGCGCTGTGGCCAATGGTAGCTCTTGTACCACCTCTGTATGCCGAAAGCCATACAGAGCCCCGCGAGACAACTCCGGAAGAGTTGTGATGCATCAAGCGGGAGTGTTGAGCATGATTTGGGGTGCCAGCAATTAACTAGTGTAGTAGGTTTTGTTCTGCGGCAATTGAGAAGTTCATAAAAAATGCATACCCAATGAAGAACGAGCGAATTATTTTTCAACACAAGTGCGTGTGTTTATTCGCTGCACTTGGTTTTGGGCGGGAGTGCAATACAAGTGCGTGTGTGTTAGCTGTTCTTTGTTTATGTGGGAAATGCATAAGTCGCTTAAACAATCGGAAACATCGATGTTTGCTATTCGATGCATCGAATAAAACTGATGTTTTGAACCTTCCGATATATATATCGATGCATCTACTTTTGTGTGCAATGTACACTGTACGTATTAAAATTACTTTGTATGCTTCCAAACTCTTCGCTCTAGTAACTATTCTAAATGTGGAAATTTCACCATTTAAACACTATTAGAATATACATTCTATTAATATTATGCAAAAAGTTTGTATTTGGTTTATATGCACATACGCCCACTTTCCCACTGCAGTTTTTCACACTACCAAATATTCAAGAAACATTTCCTATTATTGCTGTAAATGCGATGGACGTGCGTGTTGCTAATTTATTAGTAGAAACGTTTATCGCCAAACAACCCTCCACAAAATGATATTAATTGATATGATATTGACACTCTAAAATCCTTTGGAAATTTAGGCAGATTTTAAACAGCGAATTCCAAAATTTTTTCACATATCTTATAAACATAGTGAAGTAATATAAAAGAAATGTACGCTTACTTCAAAGCAAAAATTGGGTTTGTCATTTCCGTTTTTTTTTTCAATTCTTGCATTGACCTTTGGTTTTGTTGCACACCTCAGCCCGATTTCGGCTTAGGTCCTCATCCTGAGGGACTGAAAAAATCAGTACTGCAACGTTGTGTGCTTTTGCACAAGCGGCAAGAATTTCTTGAGGTTTTTTTTTAATTTTTTTTCTCAAATCATAAAAACCTCATAAGTTCTCACTGAAAAGGATTAACATAAAAGTCAAATGAAAAAAAAAANAAACATTGAAACTATCCATGGTGGCACTATCGATAGTTTTACAACTCTACCACCTCTGTATGCCGAAAGCCATACAGAGCCCCGTGAGACAACTCCGGAAGAGTTGTGATGCACCAAGCGGGAGTGTTGAGCATCGGTTATGTATTCAAGTTAGAAAATTGGGTAGGCGCTGTGGCCAATGGTAGCTCTTGTACCACCTCTGTATGCCGAAAGCCATACAGAGCCCCGCGAGACAACTCCGGAAGAGTTGTGATGCATCAAGCGGGAGTGTTGAGCATGATTTGGGGTGCCAGCAATTAACTAGTGTAGTAGGTTTTGTTCTGCGGCAATTGAGAAGTTCATAAAAAATGCATACCCAATGAAGAACGAGCGAATTATTTTTCAACACAAGTGCGTGTGTTTATTCGCTGCACTTGGTTTTGGGCGGGAGTGCAATACAAGTGCGTGTGTGTTAGCTGTTCTTTGTTTATGTGGGAAATGCATAAGTCGCTTAAACAATCGGAAACATCGATGTTTGCTATTCGATGCATCGAATAAAACTGATGTTTTGAACCTTCCGATATATATATCGATGCATCTACTTTTGTGTGCAATGTACACTGTACGTATTAAAATTACTTTGTATGCTTCCAAACTCTTCGCTCTAGTAACTATTCTAAATGTGGAAATTTCACCATTTAAACACTATTAGAATATACATTCTATTAATATTATGCAAAAAGTTTGTATTTGGTTTATATGCACATACGCCCACTTTCCCACTGCAGTTTTTCACACTACCAAATATTCAAGAAACATTTCCTATTATTGCTGTAAATGCGATGGACGTGCGTGTTGCTAATTTATTAGTAGAAACGTTTATCGCCAAACAACCCTCCACAAAATGATATTAATTGATATGATATTGACACTCTAAAATCCTTTGGAAATTTAGGCAGATTTTAAACAGCGAATTCCAAAATTTTTTCACATATCTTATAAACATAGTGAAGTAATATAAAAGAAATGTACGCTTACTTCAAAGCAAAAATTGGGTTTGTCATTTCCGTTTTTTTTTTCAATTCTTGCATTGACCTTTGGTTTTGTTGCACACCTCAGCCCGATTTCGGCTTAGGTCCTCATCCTGAGGGACTGAAAAAATCAGTACTGCAACGTTGTGTGCTTTTGCACAAGCGGCAAGAATTTCTTGAGGTTTTTTTTTAATTTTTTTTCTCAAATCATAAAAACCTCATAAGTTCTCACTGAAAAGGATTAACATAAAAGTCAAATGAAAAAAAAAAATATAATAAATTACCAAATAAGTGTTCCGAAATAGAATCGTTATCTGGCACACTTTATATCATTTCACTATGCTTATGGTCGCCACTTCAGTACCTTCCGAAAACTTTTTTCGAAAGCTTATCAAAAGACCAAAAAATCTGGGATCTGTAACTATTTAAATCATTAAATACATTTCACTGTGAGTTAATACTTAACCATTTATCGAAACTGTTGATATTTTCATTCGATGCATCGAAAATATCGATGGTTTTATACGATATATCGATATGAATCGATGCTATATTTCGATGCATCGAATGGAAAAAAACATCGGTGTATTTTTTTGACTTGCATCGCTACCTCTTTTCCCTACTAGCGCCAATTTTTGTTTACTTTTACATTTGATATTCCTCCTCTTCTTCGCAAGTATAATCGATAAAACTAGGTTTGACACCAAAAAGTATTCGGTTTAATCTGGGATAAGTTTATAATTATAATTTTGTAAGGCTATTCTCTTGTTCTNAAAAAACATCGGTGTATTTTTTTGACTTGCATCGCTACCTCTTTTCCCTACTAGCGCCAATTTTTGTTTACTTTTACATTTGATATTCCTCCTCTTCTTCGCAAGTATAATCGATAAAACTAGGTTTGACACCAAAAAGTATTCGGTTTAATCTGGGATAAGTTTATAATTATAATTTTGTAAGGCTATTCTCTTGTTCTAAATACAGATTAGGGAGTTAAGCTCGAAAATGTGTATAATCTTTTTATATGTAAAGCTATTAAATATTAGGCGATTCAGTTACATACATACAAATGTAGCTTAGATTAGAAATTAATTCACTTAATTTCATCCATTTGGCTGATTTAATTTTTTTATTCATTTTCATTTTTAATTCTTTTTATACCCGAGCGCACTTGTGCACAAGGGTATTATAACTTTGTTCACATAACGGTTGTTTGTAACTGGCAAAACGACTCGAGATAGATATAGACAAATGTATAC